GTGATTCTAAACTGACTGGAGATGGGAAAAACGAGTCACTGCCAGAATGGTATGGAAACCCACTCCTTCACCTCGTGCTCAGCACATGCTGGCACAAAACTTATTACCACTGCAGAGCAACCACCACCTTTCCCTAACCATGGGCAGACCATGCCAGCTATTGACTCAGCTGCTTTTAGAATGCTTCCTCCACTTCTCGTGCTGGCACAGCCAGCTTATTGCTGCCTTACATCAAGTCATTTACCAGCCTCTGAACCCAGACTGCAGCTTTTCTCACTGAGCATGGAGAGGGTGGCCATCAAAAACCTCCTCAGCCTACCCAGCACCCTCAGAGCTAATGCTGATTGCTGACAGCAGAGCAGGGACAGCAACATGACCAGAACAATATTCCATGCAATGACCTGCTGGACACTGCCAAGAGTAAGCACTCTCCTGAAAAGTGAGATTCCATGGGGAATTAAAGCTGGAAAGGAAAGAATATGAAGACCTGAAATCTTTCATCAGGGTGTTTCAAAGCTGGGAAGATTTAAACCACCTTTCTTGTTTTTACTTAATTGTGTGGAGCAGCCCTGCGTTCCAAACTCCACCTGCCATTCCCAAGTTCATAGAATCACAGAATGGTCAGGGGCAGAAGGGACCTTAAATCTCATCTAGTTCCAGCCCCTGCCATGTGCAAGGACAACTTCCACTATCCCAGGTTGCTCCAGGCCCCATCCAACCTGGCCTTGGACACTTCCAGGGATGGGGCAGCCACAGCTTCTCATGGCAACCTGTGCCAGGGCCTCACCATCCTCACAGGGAAATTGTGCCAGATGCTGGTTGCAAAGAGAGCACAAAGGCACTGCCTGAGTCCTCTGAGTTTGGCTTTTGCAGGAGTAAAGCCTAGTTCAGTTTTACTGAAGCAAAACACAGCCTGGTTTGCTTCTACATATAAATTAAGGGTACCAAAGAACATTAATGAGCACATTCTGTGATCAGATTTTACCTGATTAATTTTTTAATCACATTTCTTTCAGAAGCAATTAAAGACTTTGATATGAAACAGGTCATCTGGTTACTTCTGAAAAGGAAGGAGGGTCTGCCTACAGTCATGGATCAGAAACAGAGGGCAGGGATGAGAGGAGAAAAAGAAATGCATGTATATGGGCAAATACAGCTCATTTCTCCCACTGTCAGCCTGCTGTTAATACAGGTAAAGATGTTCACAGTTAGCTCTGCCCTTTTAGCCTCTCTCCTCGTTGATCCAACCACCAAGGACTAATCTTGGGCTTATGGCATCACACAGCTTTCTACCAGCAAAATGCAATGACACAACCGGGTCGAGAATAGAAAGCAAGGAGGAGGAAAGTGCTAAAATGGAACAAGCAGTTATGGAACATTGTTACAAAATCCCTGGGTTAGCCACTCTGCAGAGCACAACAGTACATGACACAACCATAACAGGACCCAGGAAAAGTTTCCCCTAACTTCCCCTAACAGCGCTGAGAGGTGCTATGGAAACCTTTACTTTGCCCATCATTTGAAGGCAGGACAGGTATGCTGCTTCTGATTTGAGTCATCAGACTTCAAATCCAGCATCCTTCACCCCACCACAGAGCCAGGGTGGCAGCAAGCCTGGGGGAAGTTCCACTCAGAGAGCCAAGAATACCTTATCTCACAGGATAAGGTGGAGCTTTACTTTTCCCCTCTTGCAAAATCGGTTATTAAGTAATGTGTTTATGTCACACATACCAGCACTCCTCACAGGGGCATTACAGCAGCACAGTGTTACCTTCAAGGAAAGGAACGTGCAGTGCTCTAAATGAATGGGAAGGGTCCTCTCTCATGGCTCAGGGCAGTGCCTCTTCCTGATTTCCCCCAGCAAAGTCAACTGGTACTTGCTTTCCTTCATGCTCTGCCCTAGACCCAGGCAAATCCCCTGGCTCACCAGGTCACGTTTCTGGGCACTTCTAGCCAAGCAACTCCTCCTAACTAACATGCACTGAATCCACCTCCAAGCCCTCTCATGGGTCCAGGCAGCAGGGAGGAGCTGAAGTGGAGTAATTTCCAAATGTCAACAGCTGATATCACAGCAACACATTCCAGTGTAGGACCAGGGTGAGGTGCCACCTGAGGGACGGACTAAACACACCCTGGAAGCAGGCCCAAGGGACATAGTTCTGTCAGGTATGAACAGTTTCTGTTAACACTACATTTACTCAGTGAGGGCACAAGGGACAATTTTCCCACCCTGAAAATGTCTCAATGCCTTCCCAAGTAGAAATGCCCTTTTTTATCCCTCCTTAAAAAGCCAAGTCCTTCCCTCTCCCCCGCACCACTACATAATCAAATTGGTGGGTGATGAGGTTGGAGTTGCTATCTCCATCCCACAGACATAACCTGTGGGCATCACTGACAAAGTGAGCCACGCTCCTCTCTTTTCCCAAGGAACACACCAAAGAGGGATGCTCAAAGCGACACCTTCAAAATTCTGTCTTCGCCTCTTTGAACTCAAAGCAACTTAAAACCAGCAAAAGCAGCCTGGTTCCAAGGCATATTATAATGATCTGCTGGAGAGTCTTTCCATTCTCTCCTGCTAACCTATCTCTTCTGATAAAGGTTACAGCTCCCCTTCCCCTCATGGAAGGAAAAGAAACCATCTCCTCTCTGCTCACTTTCAGTGAAATTAAGTCTCTTGACAGACACTCTCCTTCCTTAAAACACCCCACTGTAAGTGCAGGAATCTAATAGGGACTTAAAAGCATCTGCACCAAGTGCCAGCCAAAGGTCTGCAGCCTGATATCTTAACCCTTCCACTGGGTCTTACACTAACAGAAGGCAGGGTGAGATTAGATTAAATACTGGGAGGAAATTCTTCCCTGTGAAGGTGGGGAGGCCCTGGCACAGGGTGCCCAGAAAAGCTGTGGCTGCCCCATTCCTGGAACTGTTGGACAGGCCTTGGACCAACCAAGTAGAAGGTGTCCCTGCCCATGGCAAGGGGCTGGAATTGGAGATCAGTTCCAACCACAACTACTCTGTGAGTGTCAGCTGATCCCACACATGCAGACCATGACTGCACCCAGGGTGCACATTGGATACACACACTCATGACACACACGGATCTCTGCAGAGAGACAGATGTAGCCGAGGACACACAGAGAACTGCAGAAACAGCGAGGCTGGAAACTTGGAGACAAATAAGATCTCTCCAAAGTGCCAAAGCCTTCAATGCCTACAGGCACTTCTGCAGTGCCCCAGATTGCCAGGCATGCCAAGAATTCCAGGCTGTCCCACTCAGCACAGAGCAGAGGGGCTGAGCAGCGGCTCCCTGGCTGACCCACCCATGCCCTGTGACCCTGACAGACGCCTCAGCCTTGCATCCTTGGGAAATTTAGCTGGGCTGCTCCCAGGAGCCTGGCAGGAATCATCGGCTGCCTTCAGCACCCTCGAGGGAATGAGCTGGCTGCACAGCCCCAGGGTTCTGCGGAGGCTCAGCCCAGCAGCTCCAGCTCCCTGTCGAGTACAATTAGAAGCGCTTGTTTCACCACCGCTCCTCATTCCCCCAGCTGGTCTGTTAGCCCAGCTAAACCAAATGAGGATATCCACACTGGAACAAAGGATATGAACACACCACAGCCACAAATACTACTTCAGGCCGTAACCACATCCCCTGCAGACAGTCAGAAGGACCCTCCTGCACTCATCACCAACCACCACTTGTATTTTACTCCTGGAACATCACACGCGGCCCTTGTGCCTCAAAACAACACGTAGCAACATTCAAGACAGTAAAACATTAAAAAATATCCTCTCTCTCCCTCCTCAAATGTTTCCGTTGTGCCAAAGTGTCAATTATTCCACAAGCAAAAGGCTAATACAAACCTGACCCTGCAGACAGCAAACAGCCTCATTAAACCCAATACAATGATTTATAGTGGCTGAGCACAGATTACTTCATTCCAGACAGGAAGAAAACACAGGCTTTTTGGTGGAAACGACTGGCTTGGTTTGCTGGAAGTGCTCTAACTGCTCTTTATAGAGACTATTTCCTCTCCTACTGCTGGATCCTTTCCTGTCCATTACTGGTGACAATGACATGGCTGTAACTCTACACCTTTCAACACATTTTCAATTGAAAAGCCACAGGCATTTGTTTGCAAATAAAGAAGTTAGAATAAAATAATACCCTGAAGTCAGGAGGGGAAGGATAGTTCTGCAAGGTGAAATCCTCTCCCTTCTAGGTTAAGTCCTATCCTATCCTGTTCTCCTCCTTCCCCCCTACTAGTTCATCAAGACAACAGAAAATAAATCCTCAGAAAATGAGAAAAAGAGAATTTGCTGCCATTAACTCAGTCCTATCAGCTTCATCATTTTCCAGGAAGAAACTTGAAGTAAACTGCTTTAAATTCTTTTTACCTTTGGGATTTCACAACATTTTTAGTTAGAGAAAAAGCAAAAACACGTCCAAGGGAGTCTACTCTTTCCCTATAAAGTGAGGAAATTGTTTTCTCCGTTAAAAAGTTCTCCTTGAAGGGAAAATCATTCTCTTTATGCCTCCCAAGGACAAAGAATAACCCAGGCAAATGGTCACTTCCTGCCTTAAGAGCACCCTGACACTTGGTACAAATTCTGCTGGATTTCCCACTTGGCTTCTCCAGCTGCCTCCACATTTCCAAGCTCACAACTGCAGTGCTGATAGGCAAGCACTGCCAAATAGCTCTATTCACAGAGGAAAGCAAAGCAAACAGCTCTGGTGCTTCCCAGCCATTATGCAGGGCACAGCAACCAGTACTTTGGGGGAAGAGGAAGCGTGTGCCAGCAGCACACAGCAACGTTCGCTCCCCAAATGGAACTGAGGATTTCTCTAAAAAGTCACCTCCACCCCGACCAAGCCTACCCGTGTTTCAGTCAATTTTAGGATGAAGTACTGGGCAAACCAAAGGCACCTCGGGTCTCTGCCCTCCTACATACAAACACCAAAGCAAAGGCACCCTTCCTCCCCAGCAGTCCAAGTCTCTTACCTTCCACTTCTTCTTCATCACATACATGTTTAAGGAAGGAAGCCCCTCTATCCAGTACTGCCTCGTCCTCCATCCTATAGTAATAGAAAAGAAAAAAGGAATGCTCAGACTTCTCCTGGAGTGAGCTGTTTGAACCAGCCCAAGTCCTGGGCAGGTTAACTTGCAAGCTGTTGTTCATGTTCCTGTGGGCACTCCAGTCCTCCTTCCAGTGCCTGCTGTTCCTTCATAGAGCTCCTTTCACATGGCGTTCGCTTTAAGCTGGCCTCACGTAGCTCCGATTCTGACCTTGAGAGGACATCAGTGGTGACAGGTGTGAACAAGGTAATCCCAGCTACAAGTCTTTGGGGGCTTTCCTGTTTCTTGTGTCTGGCTTTTGCCCCCCCTCCTCTTTTCTCCAAAAGGTACAGCCACACAGGCAGGCTTGGGGCTGTCTATGCAAGAGCCAAGAGTCGGTGGGATGGCAGTTTGCCTCTGATGCTGCCCCAGCGGCACAGGGAAGGGAGCAGGCACACTCCCCAGGGCCACACGTTCCAAGCACAGTCCCTAATAGCAGCAGCACAGCACACTTGTCTGCTGGGAGCCCAGCTTGTGTCACATGCTGGCCTTACAGAAATCTGACATATGAGGATTATCCCAAGACCGAGCTACAGTAAGTCAGATCATCACAGCAGTCATTTATGTGTGTCACCCATTCATTCATCCATTTGGGGAAGGGTTTTAGTGGCTGCCCTCCTTCCCCTCCCCTTTTCTCTCCACCTCTGATCTGCCTCTGTGGACAGCAGAGACTCCTAATTCCACGCTTCTGCCATCGCCGTGCTTCTGCAGAGCTGCCCACAACTCCTGCTGCTGTGGCTCACCCACAAAACCAGACCTTGCCCGCGTTCCAAGGGTACATCTGCAAATCCACTCTTGACAAGCAAATGCAAAAATAATAAAATAATAATAAACAAAATTGGAACTGTGTTAAATAATCTCCTTAGAGGCTAAGTACACATTTGCTGCTCACTACTGGGCAGTCGCCATGGGAGCTTTCCATCCTAATACAGCTGAGACCAAGCTGGTCACTTGTTTTCATAGCAAAAATCAGCCATAAAACAGCACCTTTTCCTTATATTTCCTCAGGGGAATAGGGACAAACTCAGTTCAGAGTGAGACAAGGCCTTCAAAAATTCTTCCCATCCATACTGCTTCCATTCAAGATCCTCTGAGAGCTGTAGCAGCAAACACCTGCAGATTATCTTAATGGAATATTCAAATTCAGGAGGGTATAAATACTGAACAGATGAATCCAAGAGTCCAGAATGCCTTAGGGTGTCTACCTTGTATGCCCAATGCCTGGCTACCTAACTAGAAAATAAAAAATAAGACTCAGCCACAAAAGGAAGAACCAGAGTCCCATTTCATGAAAGCAGTACCTCAGTAGCCACTCTCCCACCTCTGTCAAGTTTTCCTCCACCGCTTTAGCCAGCTCCTCCTTCACACAGGCCGTTTCTGACTGAACTCCAGGAGCCAGAGGATTTGAAGCAGAAATTTCCCTGAGCTAGGAAAGGTGCCATTCCCCAAGCAGCTGCTGCTGGGTGCAAAGGGGTGGGACGTGCTCCCTGCCAGCACAGCACACCAAGCCAGCACTCAGGCACACACCAGCCTCCCCTGAAAGCTCCAGCTCTTCATTAAATTATTTAAGGCTATTTACACATCTTTTCTAATGCAACAGAAGGGAACATATCCCATGGATACCCTTGCCTGTTTGCAATGATTGTACAGGAACAACCCCGCATTTTTAAAATTATTTTTTTCTACAAAGCAGCACAGTAGCTCCTTGCTAGATACTCAACTGGAAACATCTGGAATAGATGGGACTGGATTTCCAGGCCAAACACAAACTACAGGACTAGTTTATTCCTCTGTAAAGTCTGTACTAATCCTGGCATTCAGCTCCATTCCCTGGGCACCCACACATGTGCAGGTGTGCAACACACCTGTGTGTCCCACAGCTCTGCCTAAACGCTGTGTGTCCCAAGGCCAGCTCCTCCAGCCTAGGCAGCATCAGCCCAGCCATGGAGCAACTGAGAAGGAGCAATGTGGTAGAGCAGAGAAAGGCAAAGGAAGGGAGTAATTTCCACTGCATGCAAGGGATACAGGGCTGAAAATTCACCAGTTGCCATCTCCCTGGCAAATGTCTCCTCATCCTTCCCATGACAGCAGAGCATCCTCTCAAGCATCACTACAGCAGTGGGAGTGTCCCCCACCTTCCCAGAACATCACTGTGCCAGCCTGGAATGGGTTTATCACATTTAACAGCCATGCTTTTTTAGCTCCAGAGGGCTAGAAAACTGCTCAGCAAGGCTGATGCTTTCCTTGAAACATGTATCCAAAGGAGCTGGGGGGTTTAAAGGGCCAGGAATAGAGCTTGGGTCGACTTGGCACAGTGCCCCGGCTCTAATCCACAGGAGTTTAGTGATTAGACTCCAAGCACCACCTCCCTTGACTTGGTCTTTTCTGCCCTTCTCAGATTATCACAGGATTTCTGTGGGCCAAAATCTAGCAAGAAAACATCCTTTACCGATTTGCATGGGGAAATTATCTCAGTCTCCTGGAATTTTTCAAATACCATGAAATGGGAGTTGCAAATGAAGAAAGAGAAAAAAAAATAGTGATGTGGAACAAGTAAAGGTTCCCTTGAATCTTCAGGGGGAAGTGGCAGGCAGACTCCTGTTGGTGAAGCACTGCAGCAAGACCACTATCCCATGGAAGACACACATGGACTGGAGAGAAGAAAGCATGGAAAAAATTTTAGGGCCTCTGAAAAGAAATGCGGTTAAGCCTGGTTTACTAACTCCTTGTTGGAAGGTAAAGGAGTTTCCAGACATTTCTTGTCTAGATCCACATCCTCGTGACTGCTGCTGCAACATTTTGGAAACAAACCTAAAAAAAAATTTAAAAATATTTGGCTTCTATTTTCAGTCTGACAGAATATGCTCCAGTAAAAAAACACGAACTGCTTGAGTAACTGGCCTCTCTGGGCCAAACATTTTTAGAAATTATGTTATGTGTCAATAGCATTTGAACAAGAGTCACACACGGCCAGCAGCAACTCTGCTCTGCCTGAAAAGCGCCGGCAGATCCAGCTCACGGAAATATTCTGCCCAGCTACTCAGCAAGAACAAGACCAATTTAGTACTAGCAGAGATCCTGGACTTGCTAATGGATGCGCTCATCTGCCAGCATCTGTTCTGCTCATCACAACATGAATTCTTCGCGCGGGTCTCTGGCTGCAGCACCAAACACTCTCACCGCATCTCCCAGGCAGCGCAAAGCAGAGCGTAACCTCGGAGTTAGCGCTCTCCGCGCTACTCCCGGCAGCGGCCGGCCGCCAGCTCCCCCGGGAGATGGAGTGCTGCCACCGCCCGGCTGCTCAGCTCCACAGCTGCCAGACTCGGAAGGCTGAGGGCAGGAGAGAGGGAAAGTGGTGTTCGGCGTAAATAAAAAGGACTGATGTGGCAACACGAGATGTTGCGCGGAGTCACAACTCGCCGGCGCGAATCAATGCCTGACGGAGCTGTGGAGCCAGAGGGGAGAGTTACTGCTCACCGATAAGCTTTTACGATTCTGCCCATTTCCAACGGCTTTTGCAATCAGGAAGAAACCCCAGCAAACTCTGAACTGCACAAGGAAAAATAAATGGAGCCAGTTCCGTAACTGGAGCAGTGTAACACAGAGCCGTGAGAAAGTCACATTAGAGAGCAGCCCAGCGAGCTGGGGCGTGGAGGGGATCATGGGGCTGAGGGAGGAGGGAGAGCTCCAGGTCCCAGAGCAACAGCACGGGCAGCAGGGCTCCCGGCGGATCGGTGGGAGCTGCCAGCCCACAGGGGGCCTGCCCAGCACAGCACCCGCTGTGCCACAGCTCTGCCAGGCAGGTGTGGGGAAGCTCTCCACTCTCCCGGGAAAGGCAAGGGAAGAAAGATCTTCCTGAGCGTGCAAAGTCAACCACCCTGTCTGTTTCACAGAGCACAGCACCAGTGACCTGTCAAGACTGACTGTTTTCCTCAGAAAACTACCACAACCAAAGTGGAGTGGGAAGGCATGGATTGGGATGCTGCGGGAGAAAAGACAAACCCAAGCAGATGGTGCACGGGGCATCATGGGCTGAGCTGTTTAGCAGGTCCCAAATCCCACAAGGTTTACCCCCAGATCTACCACATACTGCTCCCCCACACCACATACCCCCAAACACAAAAGGAGAGATCTGCTCTGGTAGGAAACATTCACAGCCCCACACTGCTCCCCTCAGGTGTAACCAACACAACTTGTGACAACAAGCCTCATCCAACCTTCAACCACAAATGAATCAGCCAGACCTGAAGGCTCCCATGGACAGGACCTGGACCTGAGCAGAGAGAAGAGCCACCAAAGGCTTCCCTGCCAGTGACACCCAGTGCCGTCACCAAGCCACCCAGGTTAGATGCCAAGTGCAGGAATGAGTCAGCAAGCCAAACAGGCTGCTTCTGTCAGCTGGCTGGGGGGAGACAGAGATAACATTATTCCTTCTCTCTGCAACCTGTGAAGCATTCAGACACTGCAATTGTAGTGGCCAAGTAAACAGGAAACCAGGAAGGAGACCGGGTCCCAGCTCATGCTCTCACAGCCCATACGCAAATGTGTGAATAAACAGACCTAATGTGACCGATTCCTTTTAAGGGTCCTGATGTGTTCTGGTTTTCTCACATACCTGCATATGGGCTTTATAACATAGAAAAAAAGAGCTTCTGCCTATACTCAGCACAGCCTGGTTGATGCACTTTTGGAACATGCTGCCAAATTTATCCTAGATGCATTTTCCCCTGTCAGCTCTAAAGCTGCATTTATTTACAAGCTTTCTCAGCAAAAGGCTGTACTCACCCAGAGCAAAGCAGGACAGAACCCTCTGCTTTGCACACAAAGAACTTGCACCCTAATATTCATAAACCAAACAAATTCCCAATTAAGTCATCTCATTAGGTGAAATGTTTCCCTTTATGGAGGTGTCCTCAGGGATTGAAATTAAGTCCCGTGACAGGATTTAAATAGGAGTCTC